CGCGCCGAGCATGCGAGAGCCGCCGGGGCGGGCGGCAGCGGCGCAGCCAGCCGGGGCCGCGGCCGGGCCGGCGGAGCCATGCTGCTGGCCTCGGCCGTGGTGGTGTGGGAATGGCTGAACGAGCACGGGCGCTGGCGGCCCTACAGCCCGGCCGTCAGCCACCACATCGAGGCGGTGGCCCGCGCCGGGCCGCGGGCGGGCGGCAGCGTGGTGCTGGGCCAGGCCGACAGCCGCCTGGCGCCCTACATCATCGACCTGCAGTCCATGCACCAGTTCCGCCAGGACACCGGTGAGTCGGCCCCGCGGCCCGGCCCCGCCGCCCTCGCCCCGCGGCCCGGCCGGGCTGCCCGGTGTCCCCCGATCGCGGGGCTGTGCGGGCCCCGCCGTGCCCGATCCAGCCGTGCCCCATCTCGCTCCGCCCGGCCGCGATGCCGGCTCGCCCCGTGTCCTCCCAGCTGATGCCCGGCTCCTCGCCCTGCCCTCGCTGCCCGGTCCTGCCCACGCACCCTCGGTCCCCGCCGGGGGTCGTGCTGCCCGCCCTCCTCGCTGCTGCTGCAGCGCCCCGGGCCCTGTTGCACCCACCCCGTGGCCTTTCCTTGTCCCTTCGGAGAAGCCCACCCTTCCCAGGGCCGTGCCCGGCTCCCTCCGTGTTGCCTCTGAGCCGCCATCGACCTAGAGGTGAATGGCACTCGGGTGACAGATCCTACCCCTGGGCAGGGACACAGGCAGCTGGGGGATGCTTAAGGAGGGCACGGGCAGGTGGGGGTGTCCCCAGAGCTGTCCCCCAGCTCCTGGGCTTGTCTGGGATGTGGGGCACAGGCACCCATGGCACGGGATTAGCGTGGGGGGGTTGTGACCCCCCAGCATCCCCGTGATGGCCAGGGTGCTTTGTCCCTGGGGTGCAGYGGAGTGCCAGACACCCTCCTTTGTCCCTTTTCCGCGGCGACCCTCCCYTGCCCGTGGCTGTGGGGATGAGGGACCTCTGCGAGCAGGGGGGGCTGGGGGCCAGCTTCTGAGGGCTATTGTTGCCCAGGGTGGAGGACTGAAAGGGAGATTGTTCTGTCTCTCCCTGGGTTGCTGGGGATGTTGGTATTTTGGGTCATTAAACAGCTCTGATTTGGGGGGGTCGCGACCCTGGCAGGCCCTGAATAGCTATTGTTCCCTTTCTTCCCCTGTTGAATGGGAGGCCGGCTGGCGGCGCGGGGCTGGGGGGACACGCAGCATTCCCACACTGCTGCCTGGGGACCGCCAGATGCCGCATGCCGCCGCCGGATTAGGATAGATCACTGTCCCGTTCCCCTCGGCTTTTCTGCCCCGAGTGCCCCTTGGCAGGACAGGGCGGGCGGCTTGGCTTGCCCGGGGTGTAGCTGCACCCCAGGCCCCTCAGCAGGGTGCTGATAAACACCCTTTCCTTTTTATCCCACTCGTGTCCCCGTGGGACCTGCGGTGGCGGCCGCTCCYGGCGGAGAGGTGGGGGTGAGAAGGGACTGAAATTCCTGCAGGCTTTGCAGGACACGTGGTGAAAAGCCGAAGCAGCAGACTTGCTGTTGCTTCTCTTTGAGTGCTTTCTTGTTCCTCACGCTGGGCTGAGCCCTGGGGTTCTGCAGAAGGACCTGGAGGCAGTGCTGCTCGTCCCACCTGTTACCCAAACACCTCTGGGCATTAGTGACAAGCTCAGGATGGGACCCCGGGACTAAGCCTGGCTGTGCCCAGCCTGCCTGCCCTGCTGTGAGACATCCCAAAGAGGAAGGCTTTCTCCTCKCTGTAGGTGTTTCCAAAATTTGTTTCCATGCCTCGAATGCAGCCTAGCTGACTGGGAGTGGTGGGAAAGAAATGCCTCTCCAAAGTAAGGATGCAAGGCACAGAGCCCTGGTGCTTTGTGCTCTCATCCCACTCCTGATGTTTGCTGATGGGGCAGCGGGAGCTGGGCACGRGGCCCCGCTCGAGCTCCTTAGCTTGGCCTCACAGGGATTTTCCCTGTGCCACAGTCGGGGTTTTCATCGCGGGCCGGTTTGGCAGCCACAGATGGTGGGGCTGGCACAAGCCCCGCTCCCCTCCGTGTGTGAGTGCCTGTGTGTGTCACTGCTGGGGGCTCGGAGCTGCCCCTCAGATCCTTTACTCACCTGCCCCAGCCCAGAGCTGGGAGGAACAGGCACTGCGGGGCTCGGGTGCCCTAATCCCTGGTTTCGTCAGGCTCCCACGGGAGGTCCCTGGAGCAGGTTGGAGCAGCCAAGCTCATGGTTCTGTGTTTCCCCATCAGGGCTGAGTGGCTCCGTGCCGRGGCTGTGGGCCAGTGGGGGTGGAATCTGCCCTGCCCTTCAGCCCAGTTGCACTGGGAGTGCACCCCGGGGCTGTGGGGCTCCCTGCTCTCGGGGCTCCCAGGGAAACTGAGGCACCCCAGTCCCCTGGCAGGGTGGGGACAGCAGCAGAGCCGGAAAGCCWTGCTGTCCCCGCATGGAATGGCAGCGGCGGGGCAGGTTGGGGTGGTTCCGCCGCCTGCCCATGGGTGGGTGCTGGCGCCAGGCTCTGACGGCTCCTGTCGCCCTCCCTCAGGCACCATCCGGCCCGTCCGGCGCAGCTACTATGACCCGTCCTCGGCGCCGGGCAAGGGAGTGGTGTGGGAGTGGGAGAATGACAGCGGCACGTGGACGCCCTACGACATGGACGTGGGCATCACCATCCAGCGTGCCTACGAGAAGCAGCACCCCTGGGTGGACCTGAGCGCCATCGGCTTCTGCTACGTCATCGACTTCGCCACCATGGGCCAGATCAACCGGCAGACCCAGCGCAAGCGCCGCGTCCGCCGCCGCCTCGACATGGTGTACCCGCTGGTGTCAGGCACCCTGCCCAAGTCGCAGTCGTGGCCGGCCAGCCCCGGGGCGGCAGCGGCCCCGCCGGTCCCTGCCTGCACCTGTCCCCAGTGCCTCCTGGTCATGAGCGTAAAAGCCGCTGCCGGCCCCGGTGCCGCCACCCTGCAGCCCCGCAAAGCCGCCCCTGTGCCGCCAGCCGCCCCCAAGCCCCCGCTGCCCACGGCTGGGCCCAAGGCGCCGGACGGCGTGGCCAYGGCGCGCGGCTCGCTGAAGCCGCTGGTGGCACAGGGGGGCCGCCGGCAGGCGGCCAGCACACCCGCCCTGAGCTCGGCCAGTGCCTCCGGCAGCCCCCCCAGCGTGGGCAGTGCCAAAGGCTCCCGGCCCGGCCTCAGCACCCTGAACCGCAGCCACCTGCAGCGCCTGGCCATCGCCCAGTCCCGCGTGCTGATCGCCTCGGGGTGAGTCCCGCTGCCCGCCAGCCAGAGAAAGGGACAGGGTGGACTCTGCCYCTCTCCAGGGCACAGAGGGTCTGTCACCCCTGAGTCCGGTGGGAGACACCTYGGTGCTCCCCAAGCTCCCGTGAAGGATGGAGGGCTCTGTTGGGCCCCTCGCCTTCCCCGCAGGTGCCTGGGGACCGGAGTGGGTGTGGGGTGGCTGCTGCATCTCAATGAAGAGGCTGAGGCTGCTCTTTCTCTTGGGAGTCAGGCCTTGGGTGGGGGACTGCGAAAGGCCCAAAGAAAAGCCATTCAGGCCCCATGAGAAGGGGTCCCTCCAGACCCCCACCCTCTAAAGACACTTTTTTTGTGATGGGGTGGACATTTAATGGGCCTGTTTCTCCCCTTTGTCTGGCTCTGCCGTCGGCCTTCTGTCGCAGCCTGGCCCCTTTCCTTTCCCTCTCCATCCTCCCCCTTCCCTCCGCTCCTGACCTGCTGGGAAACTTTCCCATGGAAGAGAGCCCCAAGGGGAGGGGGGAAAAGAGCTGCGGCAGTGACGTGGYCACAGGAGAAAAGAGGAAAAGAAACAACAGACTGGCCCGGGGAGCTGTGACAAAAAGGGCCATGAATGGAGATGCAGGCAGGGTTTCTAAAGCGCCAGAGAAAAGGCGGTGGTGGGGCAGGGAGGGGCGCGTTGCCCCATCGGGGGATTCTCTGCTTCCAGCCAGGGCCCGTGCAGTTGCTCGGGCAACTGTTGTGTGTCCCCTGGGCCCTGTGGGGACGTGGGTGCCTCCTGCCTGTCCTGACAGCTCTGCTGKCTCCCCTCAGGGTCCCCACTGTCCCCGTGAAGAACCTCACCGGCTCCAGCCCCGTCAACCCAGCRCTGGCAGGTGAGGATGGGGCCGCAGCGGGTGCTGGTTCCCAGTGGGGCGGGTTCTGGGGAGCAACTGGGCTCAGGGGTGTCGCCGGTTTCCCTCGGTGCCATGTGCTACGTGGTTTTGCAGGGATCACGGGGATCCTGATGAGCGCGGCCGGGCTGCCCGTGTGCCTGACCCGGCCCCCCAAGCTGGTGCTGCACCCCCCGCCCGTCAGCAAGAGTGAGATCCAGTCCATCCCTGGCATCTCCCACACCTGCCGCAAGACCACCAAGAAACAGGCCAAAAAGGGTGAGAGGGACTGTCCCCCCTGCCCTTCCTGGTTCCCCCGTGTCCCATCCCCTCTGCTGCGTCTGGCAGTGTTTTTCTCCCATCCTTTGACTCCTGCTCTCCCGCAGGTAAAACCCCGGAGGAGGTGCTGAAGAAATACCTGCAGAAAGTGCGGCATCCGCCGGATGAGGTGTGAACAGCCGGGCTGTGCCCTGGGATGAGTGACTGGGGACACGCAGGGATATCCCGCTGCCCCAAAAGGTGCCAGCCTGGCCCAGGGTAGGTCAGGGGCCCATCCCTCTGATCCCTGTCCTTCCCTCCTGCACAGGACTGCACCATCTGCATGGAGCGGCTCTCTGCCCCCTCTGGCTACAAGGGGCCCCAGCCGKCCGTCAAGCCTGACCTCGTGGGGAAGCTGGTCAAGTGCAGCCACGTCTTCCACCTCCACTGCCTGGTGGCCATGTACAACAATGGCAACAAGGTGAGAGGGTTTAGCCCTGGAAGCCTCAGGGACCCCCAGCTCAGTCACCTGAGCTGAGCTCCACGAGCTCTCCGTGGCACAGAGCTCCAGCCTGGCTGCCCTGGAGGAYTCTGAGCTCCCTTCCTGATGCAGTTTAATTTTTATCAATGGCAAGCACTTGGGGACTGCTAAATCAGAGCCCAGGGTTGTGTGGGTGTGTTTCCCCCCACTGTGCCCAGTTTTATGTGCTTGTTTTCCTTCCCAGGGTGGACTTTGATCCCTGCATGTTTGAGCAGAGCTGCCTGGAATCTGGTGCCAGGCAGTGCTTCTCCAGCCACGGGAGGATTTTTGCAAATACCCCTCGTGCTTGACATTCCCTGGAAAAAGCACTGTTCAGAGATTTTTAATATTTATTTCCCTCTTCAAAAAAAAAAAAACAAAACAAAGCAAACCACCAAATCAGAGCTAGGGAAAGCAATGAGGACTGCAAGACTGATGGGGAAGAGAAGCRTGGACTTCAGGTTTTTGGTTGAAGTTAGGTAGTGAATTCTCCTGGCCCTATGCCAGGCTTCCTGAGAGTTTTTCAAATGATGTTTTTGCCAGTTAAAACAGCATTCAGTGCTGCTCAGGGACCCAGTGCCTGGCATGGGTCTGATTTCACTGTGTCCCCCTTTTCCTGCTCTCAGGATGGCAGTCTGCAGTGTCCCACCTGCAAAACCATCTATGGGGTGAAGACGGGGACGCAGCCTCCGGGGAAGATGGAATATCACATCATCCCCCACGCACTGCCCGGCCACGCCGACTGCAAAACCATCCGCATCATCTACAACATCCCCCCGGGGGTGCAGGTGGGGCTGGGGGGATCCCTGGGGGGCTGGCAGCCCTTGTCACCGCTGTGTCACCTCCAGGTCATGCTGCAGCTCATGCCTTGGCTCGGGAGCTGCTTGTCCATGAAGATGTTATGGGAAGTCTGGGGTGGTTCTGCGTGGAAGAGCTGTCCCTGCCTGCTTGGTGGGAGGGGATGGTGGCCRTTAGTGCCCCCAAGGCCTGGGGGTTACCTTGTGCCCAGAGCATYCTTTTGAGCTTCAAAAGGGTTTTCTTCCCTTTCCCACGCCGCAGGGACCGGAGCACCCAAACCCCGGGAAGAGCTTCACGGCCCGTGGCTTCCCCCGGCACTGCTACCTGCCAGACAGCGAGAAGGGCAGGAAGGTAAGCTGGCCAAGGTGTGCCAGGGTGGGAGAAGCAAACGTGGCTTAAGCAGGGCAATGTGGGTGCAGGTTTTCTCCAGAGCCCATCCAGCAGGCTCTGCAGGAGCCCTGTGACATTCCCTGGTGCCTCTGTTGTGGCTGGGGACACTCCGGGAGGGTTTGCCCGGGGGTTGCCCACGTTGCCATGCTTGCTTTGCTGCCTGCCCCGTTCCTGCCCTCCACAGGTCCTGAAGCTGCTGCTGGTGGCCTGGGACCGGCGCCTGATCTTYGCCATCGGCACCTCCAGCACCACGGGCGAGTCGGACACGGTGATCTGGAACGAGATCCACCACAAGACCGAGTTTGGCTCCAACCTCACYGGCCACGGCTACCCCGACATCAACTACCTGGACAACGTCCTGGCCGAGCTGGCGGCCCAGGGCATCACGGAGGAGAGCCTGGCGCAGGACAAGGACTGAGACCCTGGCGAGGAGGCAAGGAAAGGGTTGCCTGTGCCGGCTCCCGCCAGGATAAAGCTGCTGGARATACCTGCCTGGGGGCTTCCCGGGGCACACCTGGAGCCCCTGGCTCCCTGAGGCAGCCAYGCAGTGCCCCAGGCTGGCTGGGAATGYGGGAGAAGGTTCTTTGGGCTGTCCCCTTCACTCCTGCAGGGCAGGAACATCCCCACACGCAGCTGGGGGGCTTTGAGCCAGCTCGGCCGCCCCTCTGGATGGTGTCCTGTCCTCGTTGTCACTGTGCTGAGGGCTTGGGGGGTGCCAGGCTCCCCTCTTCTCCTCATCTGTGCTGGTTCCAGCCTGACCCGACACCCCTGACACCCACCTGGGGTTGGGGCCTAGCTTGGGGTGGGAGCTGGGGCYATGGGAGTCCYCCACGCTCTGCCTCGTCCTCCTGAYGTTTGTTTGTCCATTCATTCTGTCTGGTACCTCTTCACTGGTCTCCTGTGTCCGTGGGGGTTGGGGGGGCTCAGGCTGCCCCCCAGCCCTGTGTCCCCTGCTCCTCTTGGCTGTGTCTGAGCTGTGCCCTCTGCATGCCAGGGAGGGGCCGGTGGGTGGTAGGAAGCGGTGGGGTGAGGGACAGTGACGTCCCAACCCCTGCAGTGGGTTCCTTGAACTGTTCGTATGGGGGAGTCCCCGCGTTGGAATTTCTATATACCTCGTGTTTTGGGGTTTTGTCGTATATATGTACATATAGGGGGAGCATCTGGGGGGGCAGCCTGGGAGAACACGGTGCTGCAACTGGGCTGAGGCTGGAACAGGGGCTGTGGGACCCCCCGCCCCGACAGGGCTCTGCCCCACGGGAGGGCTGTCACTTGTGGGTCCCCATGGGGCCATGTGTAGGTGGGGTGAGAACTGTTGCCCTTCCTGCCCGCGGAGAGGCTTTTGGGGGGGTCTGGAGGGGAAGGTGGCCGGTGAGGGGTTGGCAGGGGCTGGGCCAGGAGGGAAGTGTGGGTAGGAGAGTGTGGGTGATAGGGGTGGGGGAAGTGTGTCCCAGGGCTCTRGGGGTGCCTGCCAGYCCCCCGGGGTGCCTGGGCYKTGGAGGGCCCTGGGCTGGTGGCCSGTGTCCCCGCCCRGGGCAGGGGGTCAGGGACYGGATGGTCTGTGAGGGCYCTTCCATCCCAAACCGGGGTTCACGGGGCCTCTCGGCGCCGTCTGTGCGGGTGCTGGGGGGTCCCTGACCCTCGGAGCTGCTGGGGTCCCATCCCGCTGTGCATCGTTCTGTTGTCGTTGCTGTTTCTCCTCTCCGTGGCCCGGAGGGTCCGTCACCCCCGCGGCCACCCCGGGGAGGGGCTGGGGGTCAATAAAGCGGATGGCAGGGGACTCTGGCGGTCCCTGCACGGCCTGGCCTCTCCGTTGTCTTCTGTCAGTCATCTGTGTGGCCAAGGGCCACGTGGGCAGGGCCAGGCACCTCAAGTGGCCCCGATGTCCCTTTGCAGCCAGCTGTCCCCAGCTGCCCTCGGCGTGGGTTGTTACCTTCTACCTCAAGGGAGAAACCCTCTTTCCCCAGCCAGGCACGCCTGCTCGTCGGGTGGCTCTCAGCGGGGACATTTCTCCTCCACGCACGCCCTGGGTTTTCCCCGGTGCAGACAAAGCCTGTCTGGAGCTATGCAAAACCCTCTGGGCGAGAAAGGGGAGGGTTCCCCCCCTCTGCCGTGCCAGCCCCTTGGCTCTGACTGTGAGTAAGTCTTTCCACAACGTGACTTTTTTTTCCCTTTTTTTAATGCTCTGTTGACTACACGATGCGTTGCTGGCTGAAATAAAACTGCTCCGTGCCTCTCTGCATGCGTGTGTATATCTATCCCGATAGATATACATGGAGATGGGGGTTGTGGCTTGCAGCATGCAGGATTTGGGACACAACCGTCCACGGGCTCCTCCCTTCCCTGCGGGTTTGGGGATTTGGGGCACACGGGGAGGGGGCGCTTAGGGCACCGTTCCCTCTGGCTCCTGCTGGTAGCCCTCGCCCACATTCAGCACTGTGCTGGGCTCAGGGCCGGCSGTGGCCGTGCCATCCCCTGTGCCCAGCAAGCGGTACCCCCTGGCCCTGTAGCGCCGGCGGCCGTACCAGGCCGTCCCCAGGACGGTGGCCAGCCCCACCAGCACGGCCGCGGTGACTCCGGCCACCTGGCCCCCCGACAGCCYGCGGCCCCCGACCATTTCCACCACGTGCTTGGCCTCGTCCGGCCGCGCCAGCCGCCACACGTGGCTCTGGCCGTCCCTCACCCAGGTGCTGGCCCCGTCCCGCACCAGCAGCGTGTCCACGGCYGGCAGGTTGGCGGGGCGCCGGGTGAAGGGCGGCAGGCGGGCGGGCGGCAGCGAGCCCCCCGTCAGGAGCCCGGCCTGCACACAGAACTGCACCTGGCAGCTGTCACTGATGAGCGCCAGGTGCTGGCTGAACCCCGGGGGACAGCCCTTGGCGTGGGGGTCCCCGGCCGTGCCCCGGTGCTGCCCRGCCAGGGGGTTCCCCGCCTGGCAGCTGAAGAAGCCCCCGAAGGGCACCGCGTACTCGGCCCCCGCCTCGTAATCCTGGCTCACGCACACGCTGAGCTCGCCAAAGAGCCGCAGYGGGAAGTAGCCCGAGGGACAGGACTGGGCTCCGGTGAGGGGGTTGGCGCTGTGGGTGCTGAACAGCCCCCCGAAAAGGTATCCCGAGTTTGGGGCCACTGGCCCGCTTGCAGCGCACCAGTAGGCGCTGAACYGCACCCGGGAGAGCCAGAAGACATCCTGGCACTCGCGGTGGCAGAAGATGCCCAGGACACACTTGTTGTGGCACTCCAGGTGGCTGTGGCCCTCCTCCCGCTCCTGCATGCCCAGCAGCACCGGGGTGTAGGCGGCAGGGCACGAGAAAGCCCCGGTGAGGGGGTTCTTCTGCTCCAGCRCCCGGCACAGTGCACCGGCGTCGGGGCCGGCCAGGCYGGCGCACTCCTGGAAGACTCCCCCRAAGGTGAAGTTGGCCACGGTGCCCTGGCAGGAGCCRTCATCGGTGTTGGCGTGGAAGTTGAAGTTGGGCGAGGAGGGGTCGGTGCAGCCCGGGGCRGTGTTGAAGGTGTAGTAGCGGTGGATGGCCATCTCCACCCGCCGGGCCACCTTCCGCACCGTGGGCGCCGGCAGCTCCGGCACCGTGCCCGGCTTGATGAAGAAGTGCAGCGGCAGCCCTGCGCGGTCCAGGGCCACCAGCTGGTTCTGGATCCTCTCCTGCCACSCCTTGAGGGTGATGCCTGGGTAAAAGGGGGTCCCGCCGATGCTCTCCACCCTGGAGTTGGTGCGGTTCTCCAGGTAGCGCTTGGTGAAGTCGGAGCCGGCATCCAGGGATTCCTTCATTCCCACACTGACGATGCTGTGGAAGGTGGCGCCGGCCGTGGCGGTGACGGCGCTGTGCGTGGCCCAGCTGTCCTTCAGGAAGGTGGCCTTGATCTGGTCCTCCTGCACCAGGGYGGCTCCCGCGTCCACCGAGGTGATGGCGTGGGTGCCGTAGTTGAGCACCAGCACCTCGGCCAGAAAATCGGCCATCTTCGTCTGGTTGTTCTCCAGGTGGCTGGCGATGGYCAGCAGCTGCTTCTTGAAGGCCTCGTCCAGGGCCGCCTCGGGGTCCACCTTGGCGGTGTAAACCAGGTTCCTGACCTGCACCCGGGTGGTGACCGAGCGGTCTCGCACCTGSTGGGTCTTGGTGCGGTGGAAGTCGGAGGAGAACTTGCCGTTGATGGCGGAGAAGAGGGACAGCTCCAGGTTGATGGAGGCGGAGGTGACGCTCTGGTAATCCTTCCAGGACTCAATGATCTCGGAGTTGATGTCCAGGTGGCTCTGCTTGCGGGGGATGGTGAAGATCTCGTCCGGGATGATGTAAGATCCGTCCTCGGTGGTCTTGCACTGAGAGTAGCCCAGGTTGATGACCCTGCCCATGTCCAGATTCCTGAGGTTATCCCAGCCCCCGCCCGGCAGCACCTCCAGGCGTGAGAGCTTCAGGGACCGGTCGCAAACCCCAAACCCCGAGGAGGAGGAGAGCTCCTGGGACTGCCCAGCCCTTGCCAGCCACGCCAGCGGTGCCCAGGCGAGCAGGACCCCCCAGAGCACCCCGGCCATGGCTCAACGGCGCGGGGCCCTCACCGSTCTGAGCTGGGGAAATGTATGGGCAGAGAGAATCCCCAGAAGGGAAAGGAGAAGTGAGAGCTGAGGCCCGTGAGAAATGACAGAGTGGAACCGAGAGCAGGGGGTGGGGAGCAGGAAGGTGAYTGTCCCTCCCTGGGCCCCCACATCCACATCAGGGAGCTCTGCAGTCTCCTCTGCCCCATTCCTGGTGTCTGCGGTGATCCCAGGCAGGGAAAGCTGCTCGGGAATGCTGAGGATACTGATCCAGCTCTGCCCAGCCGGTGCCTAACTGGCCATCAGTTGGAGCAGCACAGGGCCGGTGCTGCAAGGTTTGGGGAGAAAACAGTTAAAATGTGAAAAGTGTGGCTCCTTCCATGCAGAYGGATTCACTTCCCTTGGTTTTGGTCCTTAGTTCTCCTTTCCAGGACACTTCTGCCTGTGATGGAGGCAGAGGGAACGTTGGTGGGAGTGTTTTTAGGGCAGGATAACACTGGGAATGGGGGATGAAGGGATAACAGGAACACCTCTGGGGGTGTGCTTGCCCTGGAGTAGCTGGAAAAATGATTTTTCTCTTGTGCAGGGATTCCAATCTGCTCTGGGATGTGCAGGCTGTGCGCTCACCTCACCCAAAACCYGTCCTGTGGAATGTCACAGGTGTTTTCTCCCCAAGTGTTTTGAGGTGGTGTTCCCGTTCCTTTTTATCCCCAGGATAATTTTTAAACGATTCCTTTAACAAATGATGTAAATTTGAAAATTGAAATTTGAGAGGAAATTATGCAAAATAAACGCAGGGAGAGATCRTGGAATCATCGCTTCCAATAGGAAGTTCCCCAGCAGTCCCACGGTTTTATTTTCCATGGATGTGTGTAAACAGAAAYACTTTATTGCCATCGGGGGAATGAGGTTTGGGGTTGTTTTCCCAGGGGGAAACTGGGTGTCACCCCAATGTCTGTAGTGGGGRAGCAGGGGATGAGGGGGGGGACAGGCAGCATCCCCCAAAAAAGGTTACAGCCCCAAAATGCCTGAAAATTTATGTGTAAAAGAGTAAAAGGTACAGAGATTCTCATTTTTATATATACTGAAAAATACTGTTAATTTATTTCGAAATAAATCTGCGGTGATATAGAYAGGATTTTAGAGTGCAGGGAATTCTGAATATACATAGGAGATATTTATTGAAAATAAAAATACGACATTTGTGTATATAAATGAAACAATAAGGGGCTTGAAAAGAAGTTGGACAAGGTGATCGGGATGAAGGAGCCAGAAACAGCTCTGTGTTTTCGGTGTTTTTTCCTGCTCTTCCACATTTGGAACGCCCGAAATGTTGGATTTGGGATGGGATTAACACGGAGCGCATTAGCACCCCAAAAGCTGCGCATGCGCGGTGGAGGCTGCGCGTCAGTGCTGCCGCCTCGTGGGATCAGCCGGTACTGCAGCTCCGAGCGGCTCCACCGGGACCGGGA